CTGCCGCTGGCATGCCTGCTGCTAAAATCGCACTTGGACTCAACTGGCTCTCCTTGCCGGTCGTATGCTCTTCGAGTCAAATCTCTTTCCATCTATTGTCCGTTCGCCTGTGTACAAATATACTTTTCCTAATATTCTGCCCTTTCCAAGACTTCTTCACTACTAAGTAACCATGGTCTGCAGATCGCATTTGCTCGGGTTTAACTCACTTATCCCCCTGCGATACGACCACAAACCCCAACTATAATGCTTATCTTCACGTTATCCCTTTAGTTGCATTCGTCCACAACTCAGCTCTAATCTCAAACCCAAATTAACTGAATACCAAACTTAATTCTGAGCATACGGTATGGCGAGTGCTGCATGCCACATGCCTAGGTGTGTTAAAGTTTTATTAATACTCGCATACCGGCGGGAACGCATTTACGAAAACTTAGGAATAATAATGAGCAGCATTAGATATATTAAGTACTTAAAATAGATATAACAAGTATTAAGGGTTTGTTAAGAAAAAGAAAATTTTAAAGATTATGCCCAATTGACGGAGACGTAAAAATAGCTATAAATTAGAAAAATATCAACGACAATTTCAGCGGCTACCCTAGAATTGGCTGCACGTGGCTGATGAGGGCCAACAGCCCGAAATAGCTATACTGCGTTACTTTGTCTATGCCGGAACACAAAAATTTTCATCTTTTTCTTAGTTGAAAACGGAATGTAACCGATTTTATTATACAAAAAGAAATTTTCCTTAGTCAAAATATTTTTACCTATTATCATTGGTGGATACCCATTTCTTGAATATCGTCCAATAAAGACTGGCGTTATTTCGGTCGTTTTCAGTGTATCCGTTGATAAATTGATAAATAATGCTTCTGTTTGATGTTTACATCAAAATCTTTAAAAGAATATGTAGATAAAGAGCAGTCACTGGAAAAAGGAGTTGTTGAATATTATTTCTTATGAAGATGGCTATGTGGTTCATATTTAGAAATGCTTTAAAACAGCAAACCACATTGTCGAGCATGTAAAACGTTCGCAAGGTAAGTCGAAATTTTTATTCTTAAGATTAATAAAAAATAAAATACTAGGTTACCACTTCAAAAAGTGCTTTAACTGGATATTTAGCTGACGAATTTCTGTTTATATTAACTTTTCCAAGGTGAAGTCACACTGAAATTATGAACTTTTTTCAAACCAAGTTAACTGACTGGAGAGGAATGACCTTACTTTTCTCTTTATAATCAATTCATGTTTGCATGAGTGGATTAATTCCACGATTCGTTATAAGCTTGGATATGCAAAACAAACTAAACCACATATACGGCCATATTTCGAAATCCTTATTACTCTTGTGTTATTCTTTTCTCTGTTTCGTTTCTAAATAACGCGTAAGCAGAACGCATAGTTTACAAAAAGTATATTTCTACATGATTTGCATTCTATAAGACCTTTTTTACATTTCTTTTGCGGTAAAATTTTTGCAGAAACGTTGCTTAAATGCCAAGGTGAGCTGTGCGGTTTAAACAGAATGCGATGAAGGTTTTTGTGACTGCATGTTGTGCGACAAAACTTCACAGTTCAGCTACACACAACTTTTAAAATATAAATCTAACTTGCTTTTGCAACTAAATGCGATTCCTTAAACTTGGCTTTACTTTCATTTGAGCAAATTTGAACAAAATTCTCCAGTTCTGGAATGGATCATTTTTCTAATTTTTTTACTTATTCTGGAATTCTCCCCTAACGCAATGCATATTAATAAAAAATTTTGTTCTGTCTTAGGAAATGTCGTAGGAAATGTCTTCGATCTAAACTTACTCATGATTAAGCCTAACTTATTGCCTTTTTCTTTTTATGACTTTAACTAAGGGGTTTTTTTCGAAACTAAATCCTTTCTTCTCATTAAATCCCTTCGGTTGATCAAAATAACCTGTTCAACTAAACACTCAACCACCAATTTAAATTTCGTCATTAAAGTTGCCTGCAGGACTTGCCATGCTGTAAATCTTGCTCTCTTTCACATGTCCTGGAGCCCGGTGCAATGACGCCGGCATTTCGGGTGACCCCTAAGCCCATGACCGGATGAGGAATCATATAAGTCATCCTTACCAACTTGCCTTGTTGTAAGTGTCTTGCAAAAGTGCTTGGGGTCCCAAGCTCTCGCAAAATGCATCAACCAGGATGGGTGCATCCTGAAACGGATCGGTGCATAAATACCTACTTGTAATACTACTGTACAGTGTCAGCAGCTTGTGCTTGGTTCATAGATAAAACTGACATTATTTTCTAGAACAGCTTCTTTAAAATGAAATAAAAATCCCGTTTACGAACTCAGGGGTGGAAATACTTGTATAAGCTCAATAGTAAGGGCGTTCGAATCTGATTGAAAACGTCGCGAGTTCGAGGCCGGGGTTGTGCTCCACTTGGGAGTGGGTATGTCTGGCTGAAGAAATGACCATTCCAGTCTCTTTTGTTTTTGCGGATACTACTATCTGCCTACTACCTCCGTGGAGGTCCAAGGCAGAGTAAGACAAGTGAGTTCCGTTAGCCGTCGGGTGAGCGTTCATCAATGAATACTCAGTCCGCGAATACGCTGACTGGAATCCATTATTCAATGCCCCGCGTCCTTGTTCAACGGGCACCGCTGTAGGGTTCTTAACCTTTTCTCTATAATAACAATACCTACTGGTGTCTTCGGGAATCAGCATCCTGTTTCCCAGGCATCCTTGACCCCTACAGAAAATACTTACGACGAAGGATAGGCCTGCAATTATAAGGTAGCCAATAAAATCACCAGGAGGGGAAGCTGCCACATACAAGTGCTTATGGAAATTGGAATTTAGGCTTTAAATATAATAATTGTATCCCTAATCTGCACCGTTTCTTTACGAGATGAGAAAAAAAGGTACTGCTGCTTTATGACACCATGTTTATATATCCTTGGTTTGCGATTCGATTACTCTAGTTGCGAGAGAGCATGTGGTTAGGTTACCCGTTCCAGCAAAATATTATGTCGCTTTTCTAACAACCAGCGTAAACGCAAAACATTTAAGCATACTCTTGATGTTTACCTAACTGTCCCTTATTGTAGTAACCACTCCCGCTCGGCGATATCCATTGTGGCTCTCTCATGCAGCAGATGAACCGATCAAGTACTTCTTTGTAAATTCTCGCAATTCTTGCGGCCTTACTTTAAGGGCTTGCACACTAACGTATTGGCGGTAAACACACACACAGAGATTACCGTAACAGATCAGCAAGATCCGAGCGGCTACTACCACTTCAAGTGCTACTTATTTTGCATAAACCTCAGAGGGCCTACCTCTGCCCTCTGCGTTGCCAATTCTGCGTAACTGCTCGACGGCGGCCTGCTAAGGCGAATTTAATTGGTCGCAAATGCAGTGCAGACCTGCTTGTTATGCACCTGAGAGGACGGGGCGATTCTTACCTCGCTCATTGCAGCAGAGTTTGGGGAACAGATGGGCACATATCGAACAAAAGGGGCCAAAACATTTACGCAACAACATGGTTTTTTGAAAAAAAATGTACAGTACTCTCTAATGGATAGGTTCAGAGCCTTTTTTTAGATGATGATTCTCATATATAAAATAAGAAGTTTTCTATCGCAAATCATTTATTCTGAATTTTCAGCGCCATTTCGTTTTTTTCCTATGTTTTGCCATTCCGATAAGATATTGCAAATTGTATGTTACCTAAAGTCTCCCGGAATTGTTTTAACTGGACTATACTGAATTCCCTCCTCGCCAATTTGTTAGTTCTCGTGTTTATAGCGCGGGTTATGACTTCTTTCTGTTATTCCCAAATTCGGTCCTAGTAAGCCTGTTTCTGTTTTTGACAGTACTCTCCAAGGCCTTTTGGTAATAGGACTATTATTATTATTTTATTTAAGTTGAAGATGTGTTTCGCCAAAATTCACGCATGTGAACTCACATTTCCCACGACTATTTAACGGGTTAAAAAAATCAAAATTGTGTCACAGTCCACAATGGTCGAACGTGTATGAATACGACTAACCTTTTACCTGAATGTCCACCGGACCCTTGAGGACATAGAGATTTTCGCCGTAATTGTTGGCCGCGCTGTGCTCGAACAGATTGTGCTTTGCTAGGTACTTGGCGTGGGACTGGGCACCTGAAGCCAACCGTTTGCTGTATTTTAATGGCGGAACGCCATGACGTTTACGCAACCTGCAAAGTGAGAGTAACAGGAAAAAATGTTATGAGAATAATAATGGCCAAGAGATTTTGTAAGTGGTATGCTTCTTGGCATGACTGAAATACATTGAGATTGTGTAACATGATTGTCTTGTTGAAGCGATGCTTTCAAATTAAAACCACACTTCATAATTTTGGTTGATTTCTAATGACTGTCTCATGAGAAGTCATCGGAAATTCCGAAAGGCATTCCAAAGAAAGCGTCTGATAAACGCTGCAATATTTATTGCTATGAAACCTACTCTCAAGACACTTCAGAGAAGTCCAGATGCCAAAATTAGCCTACCTACAGAAAGCAAACTAGCTAAAAAATAACTTGCTCCGCTTTATCCATTTTAAACATCAGTTTTCTATGTCCTAATAAATACGATTATATATATACAGATATAATATATAAACTGTTATTTTTGTACTGCTTGAATGGCCAATAACGTCTTCTCTAAACAACTGTGTGCTTCTTTAATAAACAAAATGTATGATAGCGGCATTCTCTAAGACAATTAAATTTTTTTACTATAAAATTATCTGCCAATCTAGTTTGCTATACGTAAAAGCGCCCTGTTTTGCTTAGGCGCGCTAGCCGGCATAGACAATGAAAAGCTTCCTTTCATCCGTAAAATCTGTAGCTAGAGAAAACTTCCCCGTTATTCTTAAACCAGGCCTAACCTGTCTGATGTATGGCTTGGGTTTGACACAGATAAATCCGGTGCACTAAATTTATGCGAATATTTTAACTCAGTTTAAGCTGAATCAACCATAGCTACTCCTTGGTAGCGACTGACTGTCGCATGTGTTGAAATGGTGCCCATACGAATGAAACCCTCTGTTCTTAAATGCACTACAGGCGACAAGTGAAAACGCCTTAGAATTTACCGCTTTGGAAACTGCTGAGCATTTGTAATGGCTAATTGTTTCTCCCACAGAAACGGATGAAAAAAAAACTTCTCAAGAAAGTGCTCAAACTTCTTAGCGGCAGGCAGTCAAACGATTGTCTATGAAGATAAATTACTTAACATGTGACTATTAGGCCGACATGATACCTGACTTTAAAGTGTTTTGTTAATCCGTGGACAGAACTGATTATGGCTTAAATTTTCTTAAAATAATCTATTAACGTAAATTAGCGCGTGTTTGCATTATTTTACATTTACGCATCAGATTCCACTGCAGCATCTTATACTCAGAAGACTTACTGGTTGTGCGTTTCCAGGGCCTCGTTATTCAACCCTTTCGACACCTTTGATCCCATCGTTATCTACAAATGTAAAGCCGAAAGTCGGATAGGCCTACACTGTTATGTCCTCTCGTCATTGGTTGATTGGTTATGTCTATCGCCACCCACAAACACTATTGGGTACTGCCCACTAACGTCTCCCTTTTGTCAGTTTGCGCATTCTTCTCCAGCTGTTCGCCTCTAGGAAGCATGCTCTTGGCCTTATGAACGCGCATTCGGCCAATCGTTGAGTTGAGTCACAGTTTTAAAACGCTACTTACTTTCCTACATTTAACAAAAGA